CCCCGCCCCGGCCATACACACACAGAACAAAAACTGCACACTCACTGCCATTGAGTCAATGCTGACTCATAGCAAACCCCTGTGGGTTTCCCAGACTACAACTCTTGATGGGAGTAGAAAGCCTAGTCTTTCTCCCGAGGAGCTGCAGGTGGCTTTGAACTACCAAGGACACAAATCACATTCCAATGCTTAACCACTGGGGCCATTCTGGCTTAGAAATAGCAACCCAACCAACTGAACAATGCCAACTTAAACCTTTTTTGGTGGGTGGGGGCAGGGAGGACTGGGATGAGGTACAAAGGTACCTATATCTGAGGGGTTACAAAAAGCTTGTGAGAACACGCTATTGTCTCTCATTCCATCTTTGCACACACTTTGTGAAGCCCCCTAATCTATGGTTTCTTCACTGTAGTTAATTCATTGAACTATATAAACTGGGAAGATTTAGCGAGGAGATTTAAGATAATTCACTGTACTCTCAGACCCTCAAATACAGACATTTCTTATTCCCATGCCTTGGTGCAATAAGGGCTCATGCTTTTATTTTTTAAGCAAATTAATGTAACTTCAGCTCTGAGACCCCAGGCGCAACGTTCATGTGAAAACCAACCTGAGGCTTTCTGCGCTTTCATTTCCACCCCTGCTTCCTCCGCCCCCGCAGCAGCACGGGTGGGCTGCCACAGAAGCGCAGCATGGCTGGGCCGTGGATTTCTAGGGCCGTTCGGGCGCAGGATGGTTCCTCTCAGCTCTGCCTTGTCTATGTGGTTGCTTTTAAACTGAATGAACTCCACGCCAACCTTTCACGACCCTGTGTGCAACAGAACGAACTACTGCCCCATCCTATGCCGCGTGTCTGCTTGTTCTGCTTGTTCCAATGCTTGGGCCCATTGGCACAGCCTGGCCGTCGGTCCATCTCACTGATGGTCTGCTTTGTCTTGACCTTCTCCAGGGACTGCCTCCTCCAAAGACTGTGTCCAAAGTATGTGAGGTGAAGTCTGACCACATTTCCTTCTGCTCGGAAGCATTATGCTCATACTTCTTCCGAAACAGCTTTCCTTAATTCTTCTTCTGCCAGGCTGTGATATAGTCCATGTTTCCCCCCACCCCCATAATTCAAAGATGCATTGCACATCTTTCACGTGCATGTTGCACAGGAGGCCACCGGAAATACCAATGTGCCTTGTCCGTAAGGGTTACGCATTGGCTGCAATCCCCAGGTCGGCAGTTCGAAACTACCAGCAGCTCCATGGGAAAAAGTCTGGGTTTTCTACACCTGTCAACAGTGACTGTCTCAGAAACTGAGAGGGGGGGGAGGCGTTGCTATGAGTGTCACACTGACTCTCGATGGCAGTGAGTGAGAGCTAGCCACTTAGAATTTCAGGTTCCTGTCTCTGCAGGTTCTACAGCATGCATGGGCCAGCAGCCTCTGCTGAGCCTGGAAATCCTGCCACTTCCAGTCCCATCTTCTGTAAGAATGACACGTAGTGACTCTCAGGGGCCTAGCTGCTTCCACAGGGCATCACCTCACAACCCCTCTCTGATCACCCCCACCTCTGAATGGCTTTGGCCAAGTTCGCTACATCTGTACCCAAACCACAAACCTGTCTTAATCTTCTGGGAGTTTCACAAAGATTTGAGGAGTCTCTAACCTCAGGGAATGGGCATAAAGGGAACAGAGAACGACTTCTCCTGACCTCACAGTCTTGGATGAATTGGAAGTCATACCTTCCCCCTAGGCTCTCATATCTATCTGCCTCTTCTTTTTTCTCAGTGTACTCTGCCCTCCCCCAAACCCACCCTCTCGAGTGGGTAGATTCTGACTGAGAGCAGCTCTACAGCCCAGAGAGCACGGGCCCCGAGCATTTCAGAAGGTCCACATCTCTGGGAGGAGACAGCCTCCTCTACTCCCACGGGCAGCTGGTGGGTGCAGCCTGCTGCCTGTGCTGAGTTAGTAGCCCAGTGGGTCATGCAGCGAAAACAAATAGAAGCGGATGACTTCCACTTCCATATGAAAAGAAGAACAGAGGTTCATTTGACATCTTGCTCTGCAGCCTCTTTGGACTTGTGCTTCTTGGTCTCCAGCAAGAATTCCTTTTTCTTCTGTTTCACGCCCACGGGGCCCTGGGAGTCACAGGTACCCTGGCTTGGAGGCTTACCTTATGTAGACTCTGCTGATTTGGCCTGTCCAGGCCACCCCTGTTTGACTGCACTTCGCAGATGCTACGTTTTTAAAAGAAATTGGAGGTTTGTAGAGGAGCCTACATTGAGCAAGTCTAGAGGCACCATCTTCCCCCACCCCACCCCCCCAACAGCAGATGCCTCCCCCATGTCTCGGTGTCACACGAGGGCCATTCTCACAATATTTGACACGATGTTGGCCTCCTGCTGCGGCACACTAGGGACAGAGCCCAGGGACAGAGTGTAACTCATTGGGCGGATAACCGCAAGGGCAGCCGTTCAGAATCGCCAGTGCCCCTCTGAGGAAGAAAGAGGAGGTTTGCCAGTCCCATGAGGAGTTTGTCTCAGGAACCCCCAGGGGGCAATTCTGCCCTTTGACGGGGTCTCCATGGGTCACAATTGACCTGACAGCAGCGAGTCTGGTTTTCGGCCACACACTTAGTGGTGGCAGTAGAGGTCAACATAGCCGTTACGTGAGCTGTGGGATCCACACATGCGGGGCGGCTGCCTGCCTGCGATCTTTGCTGTAGTGAGGTGGTCGGGCACTGCCCCTGCAATAGGTCCAAGGTCTACTGGAATCTCTAGCGACCCCTCCCAGCCCCCCTACACACACACACACACACACACACACACACACACACACAC